AGTGTAATTTGAAATATATCAGATGATCTCGCTTGCTCGCTCTCTCTTTTGAGACGGTCTTGCTCTGTTGCCCAGGATGTAGTACAGTGGTTAGATCACTGCTCACTGCAGCCTTGACCTCAAGCAATTCTCCCACCTCAGCATGTGAGTAGCTGGGACTAAAGGTGTGGACCACCATGCCCAACTAATTTTTGTATTTTTAGTAGAGACAGAGTTTTGTCACATCTCCAGTGCTGGTCTTCTTACAGGTAGTTAGGGGGAGTGAGGAAGGAGAGGGCTCTTCTCCCCACCCCTAGAAATGTCAGGTAATGGTTAGGTGATGTTCACATTGTCTCTCTAAAAGTGCTTAATTGGCATGTGGGCCAGGGGAGGCCATTTCCTGACGTTTCACACCTGTCAACATTAAAATGTTAATTGATCGCAGGCCCCCGGAAGAAGCAAGTTCTTGGGCCACATGGAGAGACAAAAATGGCAAAGTTTGATCTTTCAAGTACAGTGTCACTCCAAGTGTCAGTTTCTAGCCCAAGCTGAGGACTGAGGAAGGTGTGTGGGTGTATGGCAGATAGCTGAAAGAACACTAGAGGAATTGTAAGGAGTTTCAACATGGCTTTATTCTCTCTCTCTGGGCACAAGCTTTATGCAGTCCCTCTCTATCCCCTCATCTGCCTGCAAGGTGCCTGGCATTCACTCATTCTCATTCTCATTCTCTCTCTCTCTCTCTCTCTCTTTCTCTCTCTCTATCCCTCTCCCTCCTCTCTCTGTCAGCCTTTATCCTGGCTGCTTTCTCCAGCTGCAACCCCTCTCAGCAGCCAGCTCTGTGGCTCCTGCCACCCCCATGCCTGCAGCTGCACTCACTGACACGCTCACTGCTTCTTGCTGCACCTGCAGCCCCCTGTCAGCTTGCTAGGTATCTGGCTCCAGTTCAGCTCCATTATGCATGTGCTCTCACAGTATCACTGACACATTTATGCACTTCACAATAGTGGCTCAGAGCTAGGTGATGAGCTTACACAAACAGGTTACAGTGAATGGAGTTGTGCACCTGCGCTCCAAACTTGATGAGTAATGCTGGACCAGATGTCTGTCTCAAACCATTCTTGACGGTAGGACATCCATTTTCCTTATACTCCACCCATAGGCCAAGGGAGACAGTCCTTAGACACATGGACACAGCAGTAATACAGAAAGCAATAACTTCAGGTTATGGCAGGCAACCACCCCATGGTGACGTTACCCCAATGTTTCTATATACATTAAGGCAGGTTTTTATTTCCCTGCCTTTAGGGGTGTTGGGGCTGCACCCCATGGCTGACTCAGTATCAGCATGGACCAAAGGCTCACTCACTGCAGCATCCTGCTGACCATACCAAATGTCACACCAAATTTCAGGTTCTGCTGCAAGCTGAGGACAAGGGGAGTGGGTGGACAAGTGGGGGCAGCCAAAGGAACACTCAAGGAATCACAGGGAGTTTCGACATGATTTTCGTCTCTCTGGCCGCAGGCCTTGTGTGGTATCTCTCTCCCCTTGTCCACCTGCAAGGTGACCATCTCTCTTCTCCTCTGTCAGCCTTTATCTCGGCTGCTTGCTGTGGCTGCAACCCCTCAGTAGCTGGCTCCGTGGCTCCTGCCACGCCATGTCTGCACCTGCACTGCCTGCCACATTCACCGCTTCTTGGCTCCCAGCTGTCTGCCTGTAAGGTGGCTGGCTCCAGTGGCTCCATCATGCCTGTGCTCTTATGGTGTTGGTGATGCACTTATGCACCTCACAGACAACCGTGGCTCAGAGCCAGGTGATGAGCATCCACAAACAGGTTATATAATGAGTAGAGTTGTGCGCCTGTGCTTCAAACTCTCTGAGCCGTGGTGGACCAGAGGCCTGTCTTGGCCTGTTCTTGACCGCAGCACATCCATTTTGCTTACATACACAGTACCAGAAACGGGAAGAAGGCTTCAGATGACCATGCCTGTCACCCCTTAAATACCTGCATATGCTCCATTCTCAAGGGTAAGGACACTGTGCATGCATGAGGCCCACCCTAAGGGAAGAATGATGGGAAAAAAGCGGACCTGTAAGATTTCAGGATTAAGGTTGAAGTCTCTCCTCTTTTCTCTCTTTGACCTTCAGGCACCTACTCGGCTCCCTTTCAAGGATTCTTTCATTTTTTTCTTGTTCCAAAGCTTTTTAATTAACTTCTACTCCTGCTCTGGAACTCACCTGGGTCTCTCTTTCTGCGTTATGCCCCTCAGTCAAATTCTTTCCTTTAAAGGCAGGAACTGAAGTTGCTGCAGACATGTACGGATTCACGAACAGTAACTTGGGTGTCGTCCACCAGTAACAGTCTGGAACTCCTGGGCTCAAGCGATCAGCCCCGCTCCGACTCGCAAAGTGCTGGGATTATAAGCATGAGCCACCACACCTAACGGTGATGTCTGTTGTCTCACAGCACTAATATTTGATAATTTTAAATACACATATTTTTATTATACCTTAGCTCCATGCACTGTTTTGAGCTAAGTTCATAAATGTGCTACTGAGAGAGTTCCCTGGAGATCCTGCTTTTACTACTTTAACAAAAATGGTGTGCCCTTAACCGGATTTCTTTAGAAATGAAATCTATACTAGCAAGTTATTCTTAGAGAAGATAAAAACTTATCTCCTACACCTTTTAAACATTTAATCTGTTTGGCAATCTTTTTTGTATATAAATCGTGCAAAGATGTGCTTTACACCCTGCACAAATTAACTTACATCTCTAGGGAACAATGTAAATAAGTTTTATTTTATTTGTGGAGGTTGGGAGTAGTGTTGATTCAGATTGGCTATTTATTTAAGAATTTCTAATACAATTATTGTTTTGTTTCTTTATCATGTATTAAAGCTTCTCAAATTAATTTTTATTGATTATGTCTATTTCATTTTAGTGAGCTATTAGTATAAATCTGCATTAGATAAAAATAGGGGAAATTAAAAATTAAAATTTTTCCCTATTACTATATGCCAATTTTTTTCAATTAATTTGTAACTTTTGTTAGTAATATGTATGATATTCTCCCCACCACCACCATTTTGCTGTAAGAAGTGGCTGCTGTCCACAGACTTCCTGACCCTCCCTATGGGACCTGTGTCTGTGGGAGAATAACATTTCCTGTCTCATTGACTCTTATTTGTTACTAATAAGTGATTACATTAAAAAGACCTTTGAGCCACAAAGGTGGTTTATTATTCAGCCTTGAGGCAAAAACTAAGGTAGGATTGGCCCTCAAGGTCCTTTGTTAAAGACCTCGGTCAGTAAGGTGAAACCCTAACTCTGTCTGGGTTGATTCAGGAAAAGAAGACCAAAGATGGTTCTCCAAGGAAAATCTAATAAACTCTAGGTGACCAAAAATAAGAGGAGGAAGACAGGAAATTCACAACAAAAATTGTGAGTGTCAAAGGGTAGCTTATCATAATTCTTTAAGCTGTTTAAGTACTTTTGTATGTATAAGTTTTCTAAATTGAAATAATCTACACAAACATTTAAAAGACTTTGATGTGATTTCTAGCTCTGTAAAGGGAATACAAAATATGGTAATGATTAGGTTTAATCTTTATTTTTTATTGGAAATTGATAAATTCCTGTCCCACATTAGGATCTTAATGCATAAAAAATATGGAAAGGGAGCTTTGGAACCTGTCTTAGAACTTTAAAATATAAAAATAACCCAGATTTTTTAAGTACAAAAACAAGTCCTAACTTTTAAAACTTTGTTTTGAAAGTCATAATGCACTGTTAGTTTAATTCTAAATTTTAATATATAGCATTTCTAAACCAAAACACACTGTAACATTTTAAATTTACTATTCAGAAGTCAAACTTCTTACGTAATTATAGTAAACTAAATAACAAACACCATTTAATTAGGAAATTCTGACATATCCAAATATTTTAAATAATAATATGCTTAAAGTAATATTTATTAGTTTACTGATTTATAACTAAAATGTTTTGCATAAAACATTTTAAATCAAACGCCTAATCAACATTCTACAAGGTTTAATGTTATTTGGGCTCTGTGGATATGTCTAATGGTGTCACTTACCTTCGATCAGTAAACTCCAGTCTCCTGGATCATGCATGGTAAGCTCTCAACTCTTTCTTAATCCATTAATAATATACGCTTATTATGATACATGGAAGCACAATGAGTGTGTTCATTTATTTTGTATTTTAAAAATTATCTTTTTCAGCAGAAGGTAGGTTCCCTTCTCAAGTGTGTCCTATTCCCTGGTGGTACTTCACCACTTCTGTAATGGGTCACAAAATGGTAGCCGTGCTTATTGAACACTTTCTGTGGTGTAGACACTCTTATCAGCTCTGTACATTTTTATCTCTTTCATTTTTATAGCATCTGTAGGAAATGAATAAAAGGATTATCATCTTTTTAAGAAGCAGAAAACTGAGGAAGGCTAAGTCATTTATCCAATATTTCATAACCAGGAAGTAGCAAAGCCAGGATTTGTACTCAGACCGTTTAGGGTTAAATATCAGTTGCCATAATGAATACATATACACTAGATTTGTGGTATAATTATTATATAGAGATATCAACATATATAAGATCATGTGCCAGCAAAGATAAAATATGTTAATTTTGCAAACTCTAGTATTTAACATGGATGTGTTTTATTTCTAATAAAAAAATAAATAGCATTTTCTCATGTGTTTGATTATGAATTTTAACAATTAAAACAGTAAATACTGGAAACACTTCTGCTTGAATTATTCTGGATGAAATTCTCATCGTAAGACTGTGGTGAATATGTCACAGAGATTAAGTATGTTATTCTAGCCAAATGTAAACCTAGCCTGCATTCACTGTGGATTTGGTTCCAGGTACAGTGAGATCCCTTTTGCTACGTGAACTTACATTGAATATTGATTGAAACAAATATATGTGATTATATGTGAAAGCTTATTTTAAAAAAGTAAGTGAGATATTTTTTTCCTTTTTATTCTCAGCATAAGAGAACAGGTTTTAGATGGAGATCTCTAGTGGACATTTATTGTCAAGTAAACAATTGGCTTCATGAGACTGAACTTGACTGAAGAGATCCAAGTTGGAACAAGGACTCACCTGAATATAGAAGGTATTTAAGGCCAAAAGGCTAGTGAATGAATTATATAAAGGGTAACAGAGACCCTTGACCCATACCTTGGAAGTTACTTAGCAGCTAGGAGGAGGAAAAGTCGGTGGGGGAGGATGTGGAATCATGAGACTGCTTTTACAAAAATTAAATGTAGATGGGAAATTCTCAAGTGTCTTGAGTGTCAAAATACAATGTTCAAATGGTGATTATAAAATTATATAAGATAATCATTCCTCTAGAGGAGCTTAGAGCCTACTAACAAAGAGAGAACGCACACAGAATGATAAAAAAAAAAAAAAAAAAAACAATTACCAGGCAGCAATAAAAACGTTCCAAAAACAATCCGAAAAGCATTTTTCTGGCAATTGTATTTAATAATAAATTTTACAATTTGTCTTATGTTTTTACATTTAGCCCTGAGTTCATATTGTATTTGGCTGTGATGACTGCCATTTTTTTCTTAACAATTTCAATACTCAGGTGGTTGTTTTAGAAACCATTGTTGCTTACTGTGTTAAAGCAGATTTTTTTACTTTTCATCTTCGAATACTGATACTAGGACAACTTTTCATAAAGGCTTTTACCTTACGAGAGAGAAGAAATAGCTCAGTGCCTTCAAGTAGTACGTAGAACACATACATTTATTATTCCTTCAGGCATAAAGCATTAGGATTCTGTGGTGGTAGATACATGAGTATTCCACACAGGAAAAAAAACACTTGTGGGTCACTGCCTTTGAGAATAAAAAAACAATACACTGAGTGTTGGCAAAGTGGGTAAAGAAGCATAAGGCATTGTGGAGGCAGCCAAGCACAGCAAACAGCAACTTTTCCCACTCTGGAGAGTTCAAGCCGCATATAACAGTCTGAATTTTTTTTTATTTCTTAGGGACAAAGTCTTGCTCTGTTGCCCATGCTGGAGTGCAGTGGTGAAAACACGGCTCGGTGCAGCCTCCATCTCCTCTCAAACAATCGTCTCATGTCAGTCAGCTGGAACCACAGGTGTGTCACCGCACGTGGCTAATTTTTTGTTGTTCTTATTAGATACAAGGTTTGTCCATATTGCCAAGACTGGTTCCTGAGTTCCTGGGCTCAGGTGATCCTTCTGCCTTGGCCACCCATGGTGCTGGGATTACAGGCGTGACCCAGCTTTGTGATGTTTTGCATGAGAAAATGCAACACTGTTAATAGATGTGTTCCGAAAACAAAAATGGAAGATATATATGCCCACATACATACAAGTATTTGTACATATATGGACAATAACTCATCACTTGACATCATCAATAGGTTCTTGGAAACTGAAACTATAAGCAAAATGACATGGCAGGCTCTCAAAGAACATGGTTCAATGTTGTTTTGCTATAATGTTGATGACGAACAGTTTGGTTTTAGCATACATTATCTTGCTTAAAGTTGTAGGTTCCAAGAACCTATGAACAAGGTTAAGTGAGCAATTCCATTACATGTATGTATTTGTGTGTGCATATATGGGTGTGCTGTCCTACCATACAAATCACCGATTTACTATATACCAATTTATGGGACCCATATATCATATATTGAAGAAGGATTAAACTGGTTTCCTTATAATAAATTAATAGTATTAATCTTAACTGAAAAAGTCCCAAAATAATTTTAGGTTTTGTGTCTATATTAGTAAGCATGATGGGTGTAAGTGTAGCAGCATAAAATATATCTGAACTTAGTAGAACTGCCCAAGCATTAAAAGCATTAAAAATATTTTTGAGATAGTTGATACTTATTATCAACTATAAAATGGCTACGAGTACTGAGGTAAAAGGTCCCAGACCACAGTATTTTTTATTCAATAAGCTCAAGTTGTACAAAGGTTGTAGGATTTTGAAATTTTATTTCCTTTTTTTGTTTGTTTTTTTTGAGATGGAGTTTTGCTCTTGTTGCCCAGGCTGGAGTGCAATGGCACAATCTCGGCTCACTGCAATCTCTGCCTCCCGGGTTCAAGCGATTCTCCTTGTCTCAGCCTCCTGAGTAGCTGAGATTACAGGCATGCACCACCATGTCCAGCTAATTTTCTGTATTTTTTTAGTAGAGACCGGGTTTCTCCATGTTGGTCAGGCTGGACTCGAACTCCTGACCTCCGGGTTTTATTTCCTTTTAATAGAATATGTGCCAACTGATCCAGTGGACAATTCCTTGAATCTGTTTTTTTCTCCCACCTGCTTTTGGGTGTAATTTTTCTCTACCATAATGGCTGAGGGGTATCTACCTGAGTGATTCTTGTACAAATCACGTAGCCAAAGAGCTTTCTAGTCTCACTTCATGCTCACATGCAGTGTGATGTCGTGGGTGAGAGAGGACTGGTAGTAAACTTGACTTGTATTTCTTTTGCATTTGTTTCTCACCATCCCATATTAGGCAACAATATCCTTTTTGCTTTTCATAAGTTGAAAGCATTTTCTCTACTCCAAGTTCCAATTTTTTAACCTGGTCATGAGTACTATGTTTGAATCTTATATCTTGTGGCCTTCTCAGTAAGCATGCATTGACAAATATTTGCATTAGTGCAGATCTAGAAGAGAGACTTAGGAACTGATGGTATGTCTACCTATGATGTTCCTGTTTTTTTTTTTTTATTACGTGGCGCATCACAAAAGGTCCATTATTGTGACACCAGCTAGTGTGCATCAGTAGTTCTGACACTAATCACCTGCAGTTAACACAGACCTCACAAGTTAAGGAGCACAGTCCCCAACACAACCAGCCTCACTTCAAATGTTACGTGCATTTTGAGGTTTCCCAAGCCACCCGCGCTTATTACCAATGGGCTATGAATTCTGTGTTGCCCACATTTCCTTTCAATTCCATAATTTGCTAGAAAGACTCGCAGAACACAGAAATGTATTGCAGTTTTGTTGTAAAGGATACAAATCAGGGTCAGCCCAATGAAGACACACACAGGGTGCAGTCTGAGATGGCTTTCTATGCGGAGCTCCTGTGCCGCCTTCTGGTGCAGCAGCCTCGCTGTGTGGGATATCAGCTGAAGTTTCTTTGTCTCATGGTCGTGGAAATCAAAGATGTGGACGCAAAGGGAGAGGTTAGAGCAGAAGTTCAATCGGTGAATGGAAAAGGACCGCTGTCTATCACAGAGAGGGTCCCTGAATGGGTTGCCATGCTGCAGTAAAATTTAAGGGTTTAAAGGAGCTAGTGGGGAGGGGGTATTTTGTCTACACAGGGTACAGAAAACCAGTTAGGACCAGGTGAGCCATCAGCATAGAGCAGAGTCTGTCTCTGGCACCCCCACCTCACTTATCGTGCAGGTGGATCTTAGGTTGGGCTACTCCACGCTGCTTATCCTTCCACCATGCCTGTGCTAAAAAGGGGAGGGGAATTTCTGTGCTTGGTCCCAGGTACCTTCTTGCAGCTACAGGCATCCCCCCCAGCACCCAGCAAGCTTCCAGCGACCCTATCTTAGTGTGCCCAAAAAGGAGAAAGGAATGTGCTCATTAAGCTCCAGTGTTTTTACTGGGACCCATCAAATGTATGTGAAGTCTGGTGATTAACCTGGAAATTCTCCCTCTGTGCTGGAGCTGCTTATCTATGTTTTACAGCCCGATCTTCCAGGCTGCTTTTTAGAAGAATAGTAGTGATTTCTTTGAACTGTATGTGGTTAGAAAGAAAGTAATTTCTGAGCTGCTTCTTGTTAGAAGGAAGGTTTTTGCTGGAGACTCTTTCATCCTAACTATCTACCTAAATAATTTCTGTCTCCTGTGTCGCTGCAGAATTAGGTGACATCACTGTCGTGGTACATTGATTTTGTTCACCAGCCAGGAAGTTCCACTGAGCTTCCTTGTCCAGAGGTTTTAAAGGGCTTTTTTTTTAATTAAGTGGATATGTTTGATTGATTGAATAATTGGTGACCAGGCTGAACTCAGTGTCCTGCCTCTCTACTTTCCTTGAGGTAGTGGTGGGTCAAAGCCCTAACTCTTTAATCACAGGGTTAGTCTTTGTGATGAGCAGCCCCCATTATGAGGTATCTGTTTAGCATAGACTCAGGTGTCAGCCAAGAGACTAAGGAATAACAAAGACAGTCCTATTGTCAGGGTGTAGGTACAAGAATTTATTTTTCCTGTATGGCGTCAGGGACAAAGGCCAGTCCAATTCTCTCTCTCTCTAGCTGTGTGGTGAGAACACTGAAGGTCTATTCTGTTACCAAATTTCAACTATGACATACATGGTTCCTAACTATAGTTAGTTACCATGCTGTATGTTAGATCTCAATAACTTATTCATCTTACCAGTGAAAGTTGTACCCTTTGACCTTTTATTCTTTGAATACATTTATTCATTTATTTGTAACTATTATCTGTTAGGAATTTAAAAGAGATAAGGAAGATTGAAAAAGGCATGAGGAAATGTGGAGCTGAATAGGAAAAACCAATAGTTTCTACATGCCCTAGGAAAATTCATAGTTTAAAATGAATTGTTGTAATTACTGTGTACACATTTCATATGGCACCCTGCCTAATGAAGATGCATCATTTTCAATTGAAATACAGTCTAGGCATTCCTCCTCATGGGTAGGAATAAGAAAGTTGGCAGGTGAGGTGAAATGCCTTACCCGATAATAAGAATTTACAAAATTTTGCTTTTGATCATCAAAAAAATGGACTCAGGTTTTAGGCTATGAAATAACTCATTTTCACTTATATATGTGTAAATTACTTTTCTGTCAATATGGTATTGTGGATAATACCATATGAGTAGAAATAACAAAAAACAATTAAAATGGTAATCTACAAAAAAAAGGTAATCTACATACTTGCATTTGCAAACATTACAGTGCATTGCTCCCTCTAGCAATGTGTGTGTTTATTATCCATGTAAATTTAACATGTTAATTTAAAAAAAATTCTGAGGACACAATCACGATATTCTATCAGGCTTTTGTTGTAGAATATACATTTTTCATGTTGCCAATTATTTAACAGAGCTGTCTATAATGTGCACTTTTAATGGTAGATAAAAAGGCAAAGTTTTCAGATACATTACTGAGAAATCAAACAGAAAATACATTATTCGTTAACTTTGTGAATTTCTTCTTCACATTAAACTCATCATTTAACTCATACTAAAAGATGTTTGCATAACATATAAATGATGAGTATTTTCTATATTAAAATAGCAATTTTGTCTTCAGCAGAAATAGGCATTTTAGACATTATTTTTTAAACTCAGATGGCACCGTAATGTTCAGGGGAGAAACGTGAGAGTAACACGTGACAAGTGTAGCCACTTAACCTCACCCCAAGGTGAAAGATAAACATTCTTTGGAAGGTATACATTTTGCAAGAAGTAGAAGAATATAATGAGATAAACATGAACTAGAATTTTAGTTTCATAGAAAAGGTCATTACATACACAACATTGTTAAAACTTTGCTGGTCTGGAATTTTAGGATGGAAAAAAAATACTTGGTATGATTTTGTAAACTATAGTTTCTGTTGCCTCTACCCAAGAAGCACGGATTACACAGAAAACAGGTATGTGGTTACCTCTAATATCTGCATTTCTTTAAACAAAATCCAGAATGACTATAATACAGTTAGACTAAGACATGCTTTCATAACTTCTAAATTTTCCATAAACTATATGGTACAGATCTTTTCAGTAAGGACTCTCTATCAAAATATACATGAAATGCTCATTTGTTTCTTAAGTATATTTAAAATTTTTTTATGTTCATAAACTATACTCCTTTTAACTGTTGCCAGGAAACACATACCTAAGCTTGGTGTATTTTTGAGAAAATGCATGGCTTTGCTGAATGAAATATAAGTAAAAATGTTAGTAAATGGCCTTGTAGGGGTATACCTGCATATTTAATTCTGTTAAGATGTGCTTTGAGGGGTCTACACAATCCATCATTTCCAACATTTTAAACAGTTTTGCCTGGTCAAGCTCTGTTCCTGTTGCTCTTGTCTTGTTTGTTTACAGGACTGAAATCCTCAGAGCATGTGTATGCACCCATGGAGGGTCACACTTGATAGCTGGTCGCTGGTAAAAAGAAGAAAGAGAAGTTGTCCTCTTGAAAGATAAATAATGACAGCATTTCTCAAAAGCACCTTGTAGGCCGGGCGCGGTGGCTCACGCCTGTAATCCCAGCACTTTGGGAGGCTGAGGTGGGTGGATCACGAGGTCCAGAGATCGAGACCATCCTGGTCAACATGGTGAAACCCCGTCTCTACTAAAGATACAAAAAATTAGCTGGGCATGGTGGTGCGTGCCTGTAATCCCAGCTACTCAGGAGGCTGAGGCAGGAGAATTGCCTGAACCCAGGAGGCAGAGGTTGCCGTGAGCCGAGATCGTGCCACTGCACTCTAGCCTGGGTAACAAGAGCAAAACTCCATCTCAAAAAAAAAAAAAAAAAGCACCTTGTAGTACAATGAAGTCAGAATCTGTCAAGTGAATATATTTAGGTTTTAAACGTAGGAGAAACACACACTGTCAAGTAGTACTTTTGGGACCAGTGAGATAAAATACCATATGGGTATACACCAATAGATAAAAACATATCAACAGTGGAATTCTCTAGTGAGATTAAGAAATAGAACAGTTCCAGCTTATTAATTACTATATTTTAGAAACATGTTTAAGTGACAACAAATACATACTAGTCTTTGAACCAAAAGTCAGCATAAGTGAAAGCAAAATGATTCAAAATAATTTTGTGATATTTTGTAATAATTTACATTGTTTTATCCTTTTTGTCTTCTGGGTTACATAATTCACCTGCTATCAATATTTCATAAAGAAACTCGGGATAAATCATGGTATCTACACAGATACAATGATGAATGAAATAAACCAGTATCACCAGCAGAATAAGTAAGTAACTATTGCCATCTTTAAGGTAAAAAGATGTAGCTTTTCGTCATCATTTGTTGCTTAGAATTCTTTAAATCAAGTAATTGTTAATAAACGTAGCCTTATCTACTTTATATGTGTACGTATCTTCATATTTAAGTTTGGGGAATGCTATTGGCTCTTGGGAAAAATGGAAATACATTTACCACTTTAATGTATTTCCATTTTTGGTAACTTTTTGTAAATGTATAACCTCAACTGATGATTTTTTCTCAGAGAAAAATAAATGAGCATTCCTTCCAATGGAGAGAGAATATCCACAATATTTTTAATAGTAAAAAAGTACTTCTCAGTAGTTCTTAGAGTAAGGAAGCTTGTTTCATTGTTGAATAGAATCTAGCATGGGAAAATATATTTGAGGTCTTCAATGATTTTGTTTTTATTTTAATGCATTTATTTTTGTTGTGATTTCTGCAGTAGAATCTGTGATGTTTTCTCCACCTTTATAACTAGCCCTTCAAGGGTGTAAAAATGGCTTTTCATCTTCCTCTCACAGAACAATCCCCTGATGATAGACCTATAGCATTTAAATGAGGCTCCTTAATTTGATAGCTAATTAATTGGAAAACAGGTTTAGAACTATAAAGTAACCATCTTTAAAATGAGAATTAAAACATTTTATGCACACAACTTTCCTAGGATGTAAAATGACACACACACACACCAAAAACAACAACCACCCTAGTACAGAATATAAACTCAACTAATAGCTTCTATGATTATAATTTGAGTTCACATTTCTTTCAATAATAATTATAAAAAATATTTTACATACCTTGTTAAAATAAGAATTCAATGTCTTTAACATCTACTTCCATTTTCTATCTGTCTGCATTCACCTTTCAAATTCACTTGAGGATTCTAGCACCATATGGATGGCAGTGATGGCTCATCTGAAGTAGCCTCTGCCATGATGCTAGCCACAGTGCGGGAAGTGCAGCCAGGGTGTCCTGCTCCATGGAGACAGCAAGAGCCAGAAACAGATGGGAGCCCCGCCCCCTTCCAAGCCATAGGGTTGGGAGCCCAGGAAGCCTTCTGGGTCTCTCAGGTCCAGAAGGCCTGCACCCACTACCTGGCCTCTACTGCTCCCAGGGCCCACTCTGATTTTTGAGCAGTTGTGACTTATCCCATGCACTGTCACGCCCTGGCCATGTCTAAGTGCCCTCAGGGCAGTGCTGACATGCCAGCTCCCTGCTGCTGCAGTCCCCTCTGGACTTTGGGTACTAATGAGCATGGGAGGGAGGCTGGGGTGGGTATGTGTAGCCATGCACCTGGCTCAGGGACCCTTCAGCATGAACAGCCTGGCTGCTGTGGACAGCAAGTTAATGGTGGCAGGAGGCAGACAGGCTTCTGGGTGAATAGCAGGTCCCCTGTGAAACCCCACCTTCAGGCCAGGGACAGCCTGAGACCTGGGGCAGGGCTGCTAGTTCCATGGATGGGAGTGAGAACTTACGGTGCTTTCTTAAGGCCTGCCCATTGCCACCCATGGACTAATCAGCATGCACTTCCTCCCCTTTGAAGCCCATAGAAACTCTGGATTCAGCTAGACTCTGGCAGGTGATGGGACAGCCTGCCTACAGATAGGAGCTACCCACCGTTGGTCCCCTCTCTGCTGAGAGCTGAGCACTCACCAGGATGCGCTGCTTTCAGTGAGGAGGTATCCACTGCGGGTCTCCTTGGTGTTGTTCTGTGCTTCAGTAAAGCACCTCTGTGTCTTGCACAGGTCCCACTTGATCACATACCTTATTCAACCTGGACACAGGACAAAAATTTAGGAACTGAGAAATGGCAGGGCTGAAAGAGCCATAACATAAACATGGCTAAAACACACTTCTTGCTTGCCACATTATGGGCAACGAGGAGGAGAGGAGCTGTGGCCATCAAGGAGCCCAGACCTAGGAGGTCCCTGAGCCAGGGTTATGTCACTCTTTGGAGCTCTATGGTTTCTGGTGTCTTCAAGCTTCCAGGCACCACTGCATGCCCCAGTGCCACCCATGAAAGCTGTTTGTGGTACACAAAGAGTGATCCACTGCAGCCTTGCAGGGAGCCATCACCCATGCCAGTGCGTGGCACTACTCACCCAGCTGAAGCCAGCAGGCCTGTCCATGTACAGTGACCGGAACCCACACTCACTCACTCAGACACCCCTCAGAGCTCTGCTCTTGGCTCCCCCATGGCAGACCTAGGATCCAGGCTGGCGACATGAGCCAGCTCCAGCCTGCCAGGCTAGGTGGGCAGAATGAGTGCAGAAGGCACAAGCAAAACTCAGGCAAAGGCACCACTGCTCACAGAGGTTTCCAGCCAGAACATCAACACACCAGGAATCCTGTGAAAGTGTGAAAAAATAAAATGCATTGTCAATACTTGTCTTGAGTGGTCTATGCGTGTCATAACAATACTTTTTGTTATGAACTGCGACTTATTTCACAAAGCATTTCCAAACATTGTCTATTAATGTGTTCTCAAATGTTGCTGGGAATTAGCATCAAACTTAGAGTTCAGAACTTGTCTTATTTACTACTGCATAAAATTAAAACGTATGTACATAACTCCCAGCTTCCGACAGTCTTAGTTTCTGAGGTACATAATGATTAATGTTACTCGTAAACTCAGTTGAATCAGAGAATATTTTGCAGTACCAAGAACAAATCCATAGAAATGCTATTACATTTACCTGTGAATAGTATAATAGTATGGGGGATAAATTTTACAACTAATTACATGAGACAAGTTTAGTGAATTCCACTTTTAAAATGAAAATTTCAAAATCAAATATTAGTTAAAACCTATAAGTTTTAAATCTCAGAGTTTATCAACAGTCATTTACACTTGTGACTAATTACCTTAAAATTTGGTTTCTCTGTTCTTTTGTTGATTGTATTATTTTCTCTAGAATTGTCCAGGGGTGAAGATTATCCCCCTCCCTCCAGTAACATTTTATACTCAAGAGCTGATTGTAATATAATGCAAAACAGAACTCATCAAATAGCTGAAATACAGAGAGGGCACTAAATAATGTGTTCCAAATCACTCCAGATATGGGAAGCTTCCTTTGAAATGGCAAATAAATGATTTTCCAATGCCCTATTAATATATATGTAGTGAGTTTGAGCTATATTATGATATAAACTGTGAATTGTTGGATGTGTTCTTCAGCTTCAGTTCTAATTACAATGTAATCAACTCTTGATTATCCATTGTAATGAAGAGCAGAGAGAAACAAAATCTACAGATTTTCTCCACACTTTTAAAAACTAATAGTTTTTATTGTTTTTGCACGCAGTGCTTACTTGCTCCTCACATTCTCTTGCCTGCTAATCATCCTGACATTAAATAACAAAATAAATGGAAATTGGACAGGCATATGTTAGCAGTTGTATGATATTTGATAACACCTTGTAAATTTAGATATTCTTTATCTGAAATTTCTATGTCCCTGCAAAGGCGTGGAGATTCAAAATAATAAATGAGTACGTTCCAATTATAATTCCACTGTTCATTGTTACACCTAATACGGACTTACATATCCAGAGAAATAATCACGATTATTCACTATTCAACACACATGCACTATATACATGGATTTGTCCCTTTTAAAAACAGCATCAGAAATTTGGGTATGTCTGGATCTGCACTCCTCAAATATTTTTCTTTTTGTTAAGACAGTTGACTATCTGGAGTAAAATATCCCAAGTCCAATTATCGAATAATCCCTAAATTAAGGCTGATAGGTTTAAAAGAAAATAAGGTAACTCTAAAAATATCTACATCCTTTTTTCCTTTGGAAGTAACCAGCTACTGGTAGTGAGGCTATTATTTTAAAACTAATGTTTTTCAAGGCTTAATTCCAAAAGATTTGGCTGGCTCTTTTAATAGTCAAGAGATCAGGCAGGCATTAGGAGGTCAACATTCATGATTATGCTAGATCCTGCTTGTATGGGTTTCTGAGATCTGATTTTTATCATTTCAGGAATTTTGCCAGCAGGTTGATTAACGTGCTGTTAATCAACAGCACGGCAATATAGGCAGTAATATCAACACTGTAATGTAGACAGTGATAGTATTCACCACAACATTTGCAGAGGCTAACAATTTCTCAGCTTTTCTTCGCCCCCTAAATTTTTTTTTTTGAAAGTTCATTACCACCACACACACCTGTCAGCATTAGGCCAAATTCTTATTTTTATATGGCTAATGGGTGAAAATTTACAAGGGTTGACTGTGAGGGTGAGGAGAAGGAAAATACTATTATTCAATATAATAATATGAAGAATCAGGTTCTCTAGGAATCTGTTCTGTTGCTATCTTCAGACACACCCTAGGCTGAGATTGACTGATGACCATCCCTCCAAAAAGAAGAAAAATTAAAAAGAAAATCAAAACAAAATACCAACAACAACTAAACATTTCTATTTTGTTCCAGTAAAAAATGCAAGAAGATCACAATGTTAGTATGTATATCTTAACAAGAAAATGCAGACTTTCTTTTAGTGATATTGCAAGTCTCTTTTTCATTGAGGAAAAATGTTCAGCAGCCAAGACACACCAGTTGCCACCCCACTGAGTCTTCATTGACTTTTCTTTGCTCCTTTGCAGGCTTTACAAGACTGAAACCAAGTTGTCACCTTTGTTATTGCTACAGAATTTCCTAGGTTTTTTTTCTCATCCCCAGTTAGATGACACACAATTCCTCATACTGCCCATCTGACTTGATTCTAAAAACTCAGGCCTTTCTCATGAATTGCGTCACATTGAGGTGAGCATGTGAGAGGCCGTGTAAAGGATTTCAGCTTCAGGAAAAGGGAAGTAAGTGGTAAAGAAGTGATTGTAAGTGTGCAGGAAGTCAGCAGGAGGTGAAGAAGAACATATGCATCTAAAAGATAGAAAATATAATGTTACTAAATTTGATTGGCTGGGCACAGTGGCTCACACCTGTAACCTCAGCATTTTGGGAGTTCAAGGTAGGAGGATCGCTTGAACCCAGGTACTTGAGAACAGCCTGGGTAATATAGCAAGACTTTCTGGCTACAAGATATAAAAGAAATTAGTCAGGCATGGTGGTGCACACCTGTGGTCCACAAGGAGACTGAAGTGGGAAAGATAGCTTGAGGCCAGGACATTGATCGGGGTTGCAGTGAGCAGAGACCAGGCCACTGCATTCCAGCCTGGACAGTAGAGCAAGATCATGTCTCAAAGAAACAAGCGAATAAAAAAACATATCAAAATCTATATTGTATTTTTGTGCTTCAAGAACGTTTTTCTATAGTGTATAATATACAAAAATATATCATCTAAATATATACATATTTTACTTATAAAATATGTATCTCACATTTATATAAAATATGTATCTCATTTATAGAATTATATATATATATGTGATTATAAAGATGTAAAAAAATTAGAAGAATATTTGCCATGCCCCTTTTCAAAAGGCTATTTATACCTGCCAGAATGTAAGAAAAAGAAGGGGACAACTATTTGAAAGAAGCTCATCAATAAATAAATGAGAATTACCAGCCTTGCCAGAACGTACTGGAGAACATATGCTGACTCTATACCATGTCTTAACATAGAGCACGATGGCACTCTGCTCCCACATTGAAAAATATCTCTGAGTTGCAAAGGAAAAATCTGCAGAGATTTGGACAAACCAATCACAGCTGTGCCAACATACGGCAAGCTGATTAATGTGTGTGTCATCAGTAATAATGAACCATGAGAAAATGTTATGCACACATTCTGTTTCTTTTTAAAATGTAAGTTTTTCTTTCCAACTTTATTTCTTAATTTTTGGTCAAAAGATGACTAAAAAGATAAGAACCTTAAATTGCAAAGAATTCCAATGAAGAATACAATTTAACGATTAGGATATTCAAATAAGCATATTCTGAATCATGACATCGATAGCCTCCTTCTTTAATGGGCCTTTGCATCCTGCAGGAATGATCTCTCGTGGAGGCCACAAGTATTTGGTATTTGTAAAATAAGCTCCAGAAGTGTATAGTGTTTCTATTTTTTGATGTCAATATGGGTAATGCATGAGATGCCTTAATTTTTTTTCTTGCAGTAGAGACTCAACTATTTGGTATTGAGACAGATCAATTCAACAGTAAAGGGGAAGGTGTGCCTAGAGGAAGTAATGCATGCATTCTCAAGAGAGGAAGTACTGCTCCAGGGGAGCATAACTGGGATTTGGAAGAAAAAAATGCCTTAGTTATTATAGACCACTGTGATGACTAAGTTATTACATTGGTCTGTGGTCTTCCAAAGAACCACCATAAGTAAACGTATATATGGTATATCTGTGACTTTACAACTTCATGGAAGTTGGGAAAGTGATTAGGAGGGGAAAAAAAAGTTTAACAAGGCTCCTTAATGGGTAATAATATGAAAAAATAAGGTTTATTAACTCTGGGTTAAGGTATCCTTAGTTCCAGATGGGAGTTGTCAATCCATGTGACTAGAAACAGCTAACAGAACCTGAATGAAGAACAAGAATACATGTGCACAGCTGCTAGAGCAGGTGAGTGTGTACCAGGTCTTTATGTGGAATTAATGGTGTGGTAGAGATTTAGAAAGTAAAGATCAAGAATCTCATGAAATGAGGGAGTACGGTTGCAACGCAAAACATAGCACATAGTTAAATTTGTATTTCGGATCAACAATAACTAATTTTGGAAATATTTATACTAAAACATTTATCTTAAATTCAAATTTAACTCTGCTTTTATTTTAAAAGTCTCCTAACTCTTTTCTGCAAAAATGCCGGTTTCCTATAGGAAAAAGATGAAAATACATCAATGATCCTAAAACCTTGTGTTCTGTCTGAATGTTTCTGGTTTTTAAAACTGCTCTATTTAATCCTAAAGTTAATATATATAAGTTACTTTTCAATCTTCAAAAAGTCTAACCTACATCTACTTCATTGTCCCCTCCCAATCTTCTCTGAACCTCACCCTCACTGTTACTTTGATCAATCTCTCTGCTGCTATAGAAACCACTTAGAAATAAAAATACATGCATACATACAAACGTATATACAGCTACATGCACTTAAACATTTATAGTCACATCACAAGGAACTTTTAATAATCCCCTCTGTTAAGCAAGAGGACAGAGAGGCATTCTATTTACTCCTCATCTACTGAAGCATTGTTACAAATTTGCATTCAGTGGAAAGGTAGATAGACAGGTAGATAAATAGCAGAAAGAAAATAACAGCTGGGTCTTGTCTCTGATCCACTGATAGATACATAATACATTGTCAGTCAGCTGACAGTTTTCCTTTGCTTTAATACCTCCTTGAGTTATGAATTTCTTATCAATAGATCATGTATTTTTATAGGCCTGGGTTGTTCTCAGACTTTGAAAACTGCTATTTTCCCATTTTCTCCTGATATATTTCTCTACGTCATTATTGGTAATATTGAGTTATAATTAGCCCTTACTACTTACAGTCTGAGGAATTACATGACTGTTCAGAATAATAACATTTATAAAACATGCAATTTAATGTGAAAATAAAATCACTGAGTGGGTGTTCAGTCTGAATCAGACATATAGTTTGAAATAGATGTACTCATGCAGCAGGAGGAAATTAGTGCTGCTGATATTGGAAGCAATGTGCGGTGTGCAGTCACACAATCTAAACAAACTTCTATATTTTAGAAAGTATATATACAAATGTTTTGTAAGAAGGACCCCATTAAATGTCAGAGATTCTTTGCTCAACCCACTATAGTGAAGCTTCTTTTGAACTTTCCCCGAGACTCATCTGTGCACTACCTTGTAAAATCCAGGTGCAGCAAATAACACTACCAGGGAACTTTAGGAAATAACTCCCTCCCTCAATAACCGATCATTCTCAACATCTGATCAGCATCTTCCACACCCTGCGCTTGATGCCTGATCAGCCTGGCCTGCCTTCAGCAGGTATCTTGTTTAGGTTGATTCAGCCATAAATCCCGCCAAACCTGATGTCTCCTCTTCCTCTGAGAAATTTTCCATCCACACACCCCATTTCTTGGTCGTAAGTCCCTATTGTCCCTGGTGTAGTCAGAATGGAACTCTTCCTTTAATGAAATCATCCCAAATTAAACTTGTTTTCACAACTTTAACTTCTGCCCAGCTCTGGTTTCCTTTAGCATACCATTCACACAAACGTTAATAATGGGAGGGAACATCTAGTGTGCTGATACCTTTAAAAAAATCTTTTATAAAAGGGGGCTAGGATCAGAAAATAAAGACAAGTCATTTATCAATTTACATTTAAAGCTTCTCAGAGATACAGACCAATGGAACAGAACAGAGGCATCGGAGGCAACACAACATATCTACTACCATACAATCTTTGATAAACCAGACAAAAACAAGCAATGGGGAAAGGATTCCCTGTTTAATAAATGGTGTTGGGAAAACTGGCTAGCCATGTGCAGAAAGCAGAAACTGGACACCTTCCTGACACCTTACACTAAAATTAACTCCAGATGGATTAAAGACTTAAATATAAGACCTAAAACCATAAAAACCCTAGAAGAAAATCTAGGCAAAACCATTCAGGACTTAGGAGTAGGCAAGGACTTCATGACCAAAACACCAAAAGCATTGGCAACAAAAGCCAAAATAGACAAATGGGACCTAATCAAACTCCACAGCTTCTGCACAGCAAAAGAAACAGTCACTAGAGTGAATTGGCAACCAACGGAATGGGAAAAATTTTTTGCAGTTTACCCATCTGACAAAGGGCTGATAGCCAGAATTTACAAAAACTAAAACAGATTTACAAGAAAAAAACAAACAAGCTCATTCAAAAGTGGGCAAAGGATATGAACAGACACTTTACAAAAGAAGACATACATGAGGCCAACAAACATATGAAAAAATGCTCATCATCACTGGTCATCAGAGAGATGCAAATCAAAACCACATTGAGATACCATCTCACGCCAGTTAGAATGGCGATCATTAAAAAACGTGGAGACGACAGATGCTGGAGAGGATGTGGAGAAATAGGAACACTTTTATACTGTTGGTGGGAGTGTAAATTAGTTCAACCATTGTGGAAGACAGTGTGGCGATTCCTCAAGGCCTTAGAAATAGAAATTCCATTTGACCCAGCAATCCCATTACTGGGTATATATCCAAAGGACTATAAATCGTTCTACTATAAGGACACATGCACACGAATGTTCATTGCAGCACTGTTTACAATAGCAAAGACCTGGAATCAACCCAAATGCCCACTGATAATAGACTGGATTGGAAAAATGTGGCAAATATACACCATGGAATATTATGCAGCAATCAAAAACTATGAGTTCGGTGTCGTTTGTAGGGACCTGGATGAATCTGGAGAACATCATTCTCAGCAAACTGACACAAGAACAGAAAATCAAACACCGCATGTTCTCACTCATAGGTGGGTGATGAATAATGAGAACACATGGACACAGGGAGGGGAGCACTAAACACTGGGGTCTATTGGGGGGAATAGGGGAGGGCCAGTGGGGTGGGGGAGTTGGGGAGGGATAGCCTGGGGAGAAATGCCAGATGTGGGTGAAGGGGAGGAAGGCAGCAAAACACACTGCCATGTGTGTACCTATGCAACTGTCTTGCATGTTCTGCACATGTACCCCAAAACCTAAAATGCAATAAAAAAATAAATAAAATAAAGCTTCTCTCTTAGCCTGGGGTATTTAGGCCAATAAGACAGTATTTAGTTGACAGTGAGAAGCCATTTCAGAGCTTCAGTAAACCAGCCTCCAAGGACACAACTGTATTTCATATTTCTCAGAGAATAAAAAAATTAAAAATTGCAAAAAAGATATTACTTGGACAGTCAAGAGCATGTAACAAACTTGTGTTTATATTCACAATACACTTTAAATATTTTAATAAATGGGTTATTGTTTTGGTATGTTTGCTAAATTTTTACTGAAAATTGAGTGATAAAATTAAATTTGAAAAAAATCTTATACATTCGAATAGAAATAATTAAAATATAAATTAGTATATCTGTAAAAGAGTTGCTAAGTTAACCTACACAGATTCTAGAAAACCACTAACAGAACATTTTTTAGTCTGATTTGAAGAAGCTACATAACATATTGGAAAAGTTAACTTATATTTTTATCTAATGAGTGAGCTGAAGAGTAACTAAACTGAAAAAAATTCTGGTATTTTTTCATAGGACGTATGAAAATGTCAAGACACTTTTATTTAGTGATCAATTTTCTTTCCTGACACCTTCAATTCCCCTCACTCCATCTCCTCTCATTTTCAGTTGAGTACACATAACCCTAATAATACATATTAAATCTTCTTGGGATATATATTGAATACATTCTCCTTTAAAACTCACGAGCTCATTTTCTCTAAAAATGTATTTCCTTTAATAAAGACCCCCGTATGTTTATCTGCTGTCCCTGAATTTTCTAAACTTCTGATCCTGTGTATTCAACAACAAAGGGACATTCCTTTTGATGGCTGCTTAACACATGTAAAATGACATTTACTGTAGAAATTCAGCCAAACAGAAAGAGGATTACTAGTTTTTGTAGTCATACACTTTAATAGATTCAAGACTTTGAGCACGAGGCATAACAAAGTTAAGTGAGAGGCTGAAAAATTAAAGATTACAAGTCCAACAAAGGATTTATTATTTTTTTAGATGAAGTTTCACTCTTGTCACCCAGGCTGGAGTGCAATGGCACGATCTCAGCTCACTGCAACCTCTGCCTACTGGGCTCAAGCAATTCTCATGCCTCAGCCTCCTGAGTAGCTGGGATTACAGGTGACCGCCACCATGCCCAAATAATTTTCGTATTTTTAGTGGAGACGGGGTTTCACCATGTTGACCAGGATGGTCTCGATCTCCGGGCCTCAGGCTGTTTGCCCACCTTGGCGCCCCAAAGTGCAGGGATTACAGATGTGAGCCCCGCACATGGCCCCGACAAATTATTTTTATATCAACATCAGGATCAAAGTAAGAAATTTAAGACGCAGGAAAGTGGCAACTTGCTCAGGCTTTATAAAGTGCCAACTACGTTTTTGAAAATGGCCTAGAGTAACCTGAAAATGGGAGCCTGTAGATCTGATTTTTGGAAATCTATGTGACAGTGTTGTAAAGTTAGAAGAAATCCCCTCCCCACATTTTGTGAGTCCTAAAACATGTAGTTAAACTCACCCTCCGAAACCATGGTATTTCCTACTTCAATATTTTATTTATGCTGTTCTCTCTTCCTGGATTATTTTGACACATTACTTTTCCTCGCTAACTCTGTTCATTCAGGACTAAGCTCAATGACAGTTCCCTTGAGCAAGCCTCCATAAACTGTAATATTTCAGATGATACCACATTCTTCCAAGTTATATTTTCTTCTACCTGAAGTGGATTGTGTTGACTGCCTTTTCTTATTATGATTGGCCTAAATAAGTAAACCTCTAAGGCCAGGAAGGGCCGTGTTTATTCTTTAATTGCAACAGCAACAGTAAAAACCTGGGTTAATATGAAGATGGCAATAAATGTTGCAATGGGAGAGCTACTGTATGTAACAAGACATAAGACTCTACTGGCTGGGCGCGGTGGCTCAAGCCTGTAATCCCAGCACTTTGGGAGGCCGAGGCAGGTGGATCACAAGGTCAAGAGATCGAGACCATCCTGGTCAACATGGTGAAACCCTGTCTCTACTAAAAATGCAAAAAAAAAAAAAAAAATTAGCTGGGCACAGTGGTGTGTGCCTGTAATCCCAGCTACTCAGGAGGTTGAGGCAGGAGAATTGGCTGAACCCAGGAGGCGGAGGTTGCGGTGAGCCAAAGTTGCACCATTGCATTCCAGCCTGAATAACAAGACCGAAACTTCATCTCAAAAAAAAAAAAAAAAAAGACTCTCCTAAGTCAAGACTTAGAACACTCCAATTTGCAGTAGTAACTCATTGTTCTAAGGGAAAAAACATACAGGAGTAAACAAACCAAATTTTGTCCCGTGTGGGGTTAGGGGAACAATAACAATGTTGGATGGTATTAGATACAGGCAAACGTCATTGCTGTTTTGCATAAGGTTGTATGAAAGGCTACAATGACATCAAACAGGACTTGAAATATCTAGGAAAATAGTGCTAGAGGCAGAAAAATTTGCAAGCACCTAAGTACAAAATTCCTGACTTGAGAGCACGCTTGGAAGCATTTTGAACCAAAAACATAAAAATATAAAACAATTGCAGCTGGAGTGGTGTGATCTGTATTTGAAGGAAGCCATGAGGCCAAATGGCAGCTGTGGTTGGGACTTGAGCATCCGATTAAAGACGTAGGCTCCTGTAGGGACTGTGGTTTTTATGCTAAAGAAATACTAAATTTTGAAGAAGTTTGAAAAGTTTTTTGTCACTATTCACTTATATTTTGAAAGATAGCTCTAGAGGCCACGTAGAGGTGAAATTCAAGCTATAATCAGTTGCAGTCCTGTGTTAATATCCATGCTCCTAGAGCCACGGTGATGGCCCTTGGTCAATACTCAATGAAATGTACTAATTATTGGCTCCCATTTTTGCAGTTTCATAGCCTTTATTGGTGATACCTCCAAGTACTAGAAGATCTAAGCCATTTAGGATCTAGTGTGGACCCTCCTGCAAACCACTGTAGCCCTATGAAACAATGGCCAGACTGTTGAAAGAAAACCAACTAAACAAAAACTAACAAAAAAAAACCACACAAAAACCCTATCTAAAGGTCACCAACTTCAAAGAATCAAGGGTAGATAAGCTCACAAAAATGAGAATCAGTACAAAAATACTGAAAACTCAAAGAGCCAGAGAGCCTCCTTTCTAACAAATGACTGCAACACCTTTCCAGCAAGCGTTCAGAACTGTAGTGAAGCTGATATGAAATGATACAAGGTTTGAGAATATAGATAGAAATGAACTTTGCCGAGCTAAAGAAGCATGTTGTAACTCGATGCAAAGAAGCTAAAAATCATGGTAAAACAATGCAGGAGTTCACAGCAAAAATAGCAAATATATAGAGAAATATAACTGACCTGATAGAGCTGAAAAACACAGTACCAGAACTTCACAATGCAATCACTAGCAGAATAGACCAAGTGAATGAAAGAATCTCAGAGCTTGAAGACTGCCTTTCTGAAGTAAGATAGACAAGAATAGAGAAAAAAGAATGAAAAGGAATAAACAAAACCTTTGAGAAATGTGGGATTATGTAAAGTGACTGAATGTACAACCCTTTGGGGTACCCGAAAGAGAAGGAGAATGGAACCAATTTGGAAAACATATTTCAGGATATCATCCAAGAAAGCTTCCCCAGTTAGCAAGACAAGCCCAACATACAAATTCCGGACATGCAGAGTACTGCAGTAAGATACTCCATGAGACTATCATCTCCAAAACACACAGTCGTCAGATTCTTCAAGGTCAAAATGAAAGAAAAAACTGATAAGGGCAGCCAGAGAGAAAGACCATGTCACCTACAAAGGGAAGCACATCATACTAACAGTGGACCTCTCAGTAGAAACCCTACACAAGAAGATATTGAAAGCCAATATTCAATATTCTTAAAGAAAATAATTTCCAACCCAGAATTTCATATCCAGCCAAACTAAGCTTCCTGAGCAAAGGAGAAATAAGATATTTTTCAGACAAGCAAATGCTGAGGTAAGTCATTACCACCAGTACACAGATCAATGACACTATGAAGCAACCACATAAACAGGTCTGCCAGATAATCAGCTAGCATCATAATGACAGGATCAAATCCACACAACAATACAAACCTTAAATGTAAATGGGATAAATGTCCCAATTAGAAGACACAGAACAGCAAATTGGGTAAAGAACTAAGACCCATCAGTATGCTTGAAGAGACTAATCTCACATGCAGTGACACCCATAGGCTCAAAATAAAGGGATGGAAG